ATCTGGTACGCCCACGCCGTGAAGAGCTTTGGAAATTTTTATACTTGCAAAACGTAAATAACAGAAATGCTACATAGCGAACAACAAGTAGACGTCTACAACGGCTTTATTAGGCGGATTTTCTATACATCACCCGTATTTCTCTACAGAACTGAGCATTCTACGCAAACACAATCGGTCGAAGGCGTTGCTACGTGAAGTATAAGCTCTTCTTTATTGTTCTTGTTCATTTGTGTGTGTGTCTGTGTCTGTGTTTACTGTTGTTGTTTATTTTGTTTGTTGCAACACACAGCGGAAGCTCTCAAAGTTGTTTTGAGGGTCCACAACTGAAGAGAAAGAGTAGCTCAGGAACCAAGAAGGATCATCTCACACTTAGCACGCTCAGAGAGCTGCAGATCCACTTGACTTGATCCTCTTTCCCCCTTTCTTTCTCCTTGGGAACTGACTCTGTGCTTTGTGTCTCTCTCAGTATACCCCCATATACAATGGCATCAACACACTCGGCGGCTATGGAAACAGTGTCGTCCTTGAAGTCCACGCCTGATATCGAAGTCAACTCGCTGCAGCTGACACAGAGTGAACCTAAGAAATCACCAAGCGTGTCAACTGTGTTATCAGTGGAGGCTGCGCTGGTTCCAACAAAGGAAGAGAAACATCATCTACCTTCTGTGAAATTGGAAACAGCTGCGGATGAAACGATACAGCAGATACTGACACAGCAGGTGTCGCCGGAGAAGAACAAGGTGGTACCGTCCAACGTGCCATCATCTATGTCCACGGGAGTGTTTACACACTCGAATACGGAAGCCATTGCTACGGTGCCGGCATCAGGTATGGCAAATCAACCAGACTCGAGGAAGGACAGTGCTTCAAGTACAAATACCAAAGTTAGTGCATACGCAAGACTGGAGTTTGAGAACTTTATCTTTTACGTACAGACTCTTCAAGTTGTATTGGGCCGGAAATCTGAAAATGACCAGTCACATTCTGTCGATGTTCATTTGGCAAACTCGAAGGCCATCTCCAGAAAACATGCAAAGATTTTCTACAATTTTGGTACTGAGCGATTTGAGTTGTCTATCCAAGGTAAGAATGGTGCATTTGTTGATGACTCGTTTGTTGAACGCGGTGCTACGGTGCCATTGACAAACAAGTCAAAAATCCAAATTGGACAGATCGTGTTCAGGTTTGTTCTTCCGGGTGCTACACCATTGGAGAAGACTGAGAGCCCTTCAAAGCCAATCAACCCATCGGATGCAATATCACTCAAGTCTACGCTCTATACGAACCAGGGGAATAATGATGCATACGATCAAAATGGTGATGCTTCACCTTTGACAAGTAAGGACTTTGAACCTGTTACCAGTGCTAAGGCTGCTGCTGTCGTTGCCTCCAATGCTCCATCCACAACTGAAGTATCAGCATCATCGTCACATGCTACAGTAACGCAAGCTCAACCAACAGTGAAACAGAATACAACTGAGTCGGATAACACAATGAAGAAGAAGGAAAAGAAACCGTCAAAGCCTCCAAAAGCTCCAAAGAAAGTGTATACCCTTGAAGAGATCCCAGAAGAGTATAGAACGAAACCTAATTACTCATACTCAAATCTCATTGCCACGTGCTTGAGAACGCATGGTACACCTAAGGGTATGTCTCTTGCTGAAATCTACAGGTCGATAAGAGACATTTTCCCATACTACAAGTACTGTCCAGATGGCTGGCAAAGTTCTGTTCGTCATAACCTATCTTTGAATAAAGCATTTAGAAAGGTGTCAAAAGAAGGTAAAGGTTGGCTATGGGGTCTTGATGAGGAATACTGTGCTGAAAAGGAAAGAGCGAAGAAGAAGCAGGCTGCGGCCGCTGAGGCTAAGGCCAAGGCTGCTGCATTGAAGTTTGAACAACAACAGCAACAGCAGCAGCAGAAGTTACAACAGCGGAAGTCACAGACGGCCCAGAACTCTCAGCATCCATCGCATCAGAATGTAGTGCAGTTGTCAAACACACAGGGTCAACAGTTGCCGCACTATCAATTGCAGAACTTTCAACAGAATAGCATCACAACACCAGCTAAGTCTGAGCCTTTGAAGAATGTTTCTGTTAATCAACCCATCACATCCACTCCCCTACAGCAAGGTCCTCAGACAAGTCCATTACTTCAGAGACAGTTACCTCAGCAGATATCTCAACAAGGATCTCCGCAGCTGAAAACTCCTAGTATACAAGCACAGTTGGCTGCAAACCGTGGAATTCCTTCACAGACTGTACAACGTCCAACGGTGCAGACACAGACCCAACAAAAGTCCAATATGTTAGGTGCAGATACGAAGAAGGCATTGACACACTTACAACAACAGCTTGTGTTATTATCAAGGGACCTGAAAACCCTTGTTGATAAACCAACGATATCGGCCATCTTAACACAGGCCATAGCGATGACTATTGCCCAGGTTACACAGGCTGCTAAGGCCAAAGGACTCATGACGGATCCGTTGGCTACTTTAATTGAGACAAATCCACAACAACTGACGAAGATTTTGACGGTTGCATTGAATGCAGCTACGTTTAAAGTTACGAACGGACGAGTGAAGGCACCGATTGGTAATGCACCTGGATCCTCTACACAGAGTCGGGCCAGTACACCAGCTGCTGCTGTTCCTGCGCCTATAAAGGCACAAGCAATGCCTACTAAGCTGCGATCGAATCCTTCTCCAAGCCCGGTACATGTAAAGACTGAAGCACAACAATCTATATCGATGCCTTCATCTGCCAACCAGAGTCCCCCAACCCAACTACAGCCAACTCAACCATCGAAGAGCGTATCGGTTCCACCAGCTGTACAAACGCCGAGAAATGTCCCTTCAGATAATGGTTCATCTACTGCTGCACCAGTTACACAACACCCACAGTTGATTCGAGGAATCTCCTCTGGTGCTACACAGCAGAGTGCGGCCAGCTATGCCCAACAGGGTCTAACGACGCCAGCATCACAACCCCCAGTTGCAGGTGCTACGGTTGTTCCTTTGGAGACCAACCCTGCAACAGGAGCACCGCCGTCTATTCAGCCTTCTAATTCTGTGATGCCGCAATCTGTGCCTCAACAGAGCACAATAAAGAAGGATGTGACTCTAGATGATATACACGACCCTGAATTCGACAAGGTTTTGGAATCTTTGTCCAAAGAAGCTACTCCAGGGTTGGATGAAGTTGCCAGCAAGGACGTGATCGACGACGATGAGCTGAACAGGCTTCTGGCTACTGACTTTACTGGGTCAAGCTCAGTCAAGAGAAAAATCGATGAAGTTGATTCAGCCGTTAGTAACGACAACATCAAACTGGTGAAGACGGAATGATTAATGTTACGTGTAACTTTTGTTGAATCTACAAGCTGTATTCTCCTATCGCAAAGTAAATCATTCAATCATATCTGAAACTAAGATGAAGTAACTGTTTACTTAGTGGTGTCAACAACGTAACGACCCAAGATCTTACCTTGTTCCATCAACTTGTAAACCTCTGGAAGCTCAGACAAACCAACAATCTTGATTGGAGATCTGACCAAACCTCTCTCGAAGAAGTCAATAGCCTCACGAGTATCAGCTCTGTTACCGACGTAGGAACCCTTGATGGAGATGGACTTGACAACGTGGGAGAAGACCTCGGACTTACAGACGGCACCAGCTGGCAAACCGACAAGAACGACGGTACCGGTTGGTCTGACGTACTCAGTGGATTGGGAGATAGCAGCCTCAGCAACGGAGACGTTGATGACACCGTGTGGACCACCGTTGGTGGCCTCTTGGATGGCCTCAACAATGTTCTTCTCCTTGGTGAAGTCAATGAAGATCTCACCACCGAGGGACTTGAAGAGCTTCTCCTTCTCAGCACCACCGTCGATACCGAGGACTCTGAGACCCATGGCCTTAGCGTACTGGACGGCAAGGGAACCCAAACCACCAGCAGCACCAGAAATGGCAACCCATTGGCCTGGAGCCAAGTCAGCGGTCTTCAAGGCCTTGTAGACGGTAACACCGGCACACAAGATTGGGGAGATCTCAGCCAAGTCAACGTTCTTTGGGATTTGAGCAGCTTGGACGGCATCAGCAGTGGCGTATTGTTGGAAAGAACCGTCGTGGGTGTAACCAGACAAGTCAGCTTGCAAACAGTTGGACTCGTAACCCTTCTCACAGAGCTCACAGGACATACAAGAACCGTTCAACCACTTGATACCGGCGTAGTCACCAATCTCGAAGTTCTTGACCTCGGAACCCTTGGCGACGACAATACCGGCACCCTCGTGACCACCAACCAATGGCAACTTGACTGGCAATGGCCAGTCACCCTTCCAAGCGTGCAAATCGGTGTGACAGACACCAGAGTACTTGACGTTGACCAAGATCTCGTTTGGTTTTGGCTCTGGGACTGGAATGTCCTTGTATTGCAACTCACCACCGTTCTCGTAGAAGATCACACCCTTCTGGGTCTTTGGGATGACTGGCGCAGTGGCAAGGCCTCTGATGAATTGTGGTCTGGCGAAGGTTCTCAAGTTTGTTCTAAGCATTGTATGTGTATAAGTTGTATGGCGTAAGAACTGTGGAAAAGAAAGACTCCTCAGGCAAAAAAAAAGTGAACCTCAGCAGGAGATGTTGATCCCTTTATATAATGAATGACCAAATTCCCACCTCGGAGTCCAATTGATAGCGAAGTGGGAGAGGGAGTGAACGATTTCTGCTAAGCATTGAATGAGTAATTCAGAAAGCGTTGGACACCTCGGAGTTACACGCACACGCATATGGCGCACAACTGCATATAACAAAATTCATAAACAGAGAACTTGACACCCAAAACCTGGGGGTAAATTCCTCAATTGATCGGTTGAGCTGGTGGAGAGCACCACTGGAAGCTTAGAGATGTGTCGAATGGGCGCTGTCGAGAGCGCAATTGATCAATTGGTGTTATAGCACGGTTTAAACAGCGTCACCACGACATCATCAAGTGATCTCGAGACTGAGAGAAAAAAAAAAAAAGAAAAAAGGCGGACTATGAAGGGTGTTTTGATTATATAATAGCGGGGCAATTGACTTGCATAGACCAGTGGGAATCACCAGCTTGAAAGAGGGAGAGCTCCGATCTACGGCTAATCTCACGGTTCGTTGGCTTTGTCGCTACACCTGTGAAAGCCCTGCGGCCAATTGTGGTGGCCGAGTCAGCATGGCGACAGAAACCACGGCTCGTGGAAGGTGAGTGTGGTTGTTAAGCTGTTGTCCATTGGAACCTGTGTTGGAGGGGGTTGATGTCGCTGTGTTGGAGTAACAGTATCAACGTGGTTGTCAAGACGTCCAACCGTCGTTTCACATGGATGTTATGCTGCAACAGGGAGTACGGTTGTAAAGTCCAGAAGTTGGTGCTGTGGACATCGGTTCCAGCGCATCCTCAAGAGCGTATCTCGGGATTGGGGATTGGGTGGTGATTTCGCAGTTTCTGCCACCCAGAAGGTCCACTGAGCGCAGAGGACTTTGAGACTCGGAGTTCTAAACTCCAAGACGTGGCAAGGAGTCCGTGAAAACGACGCAGCGTAGGTCATTCTGTGCTCCTTGCTTGTGGACGTGGTGTACCACCGCTGAGCTGGAGCTGGAGCTTGCAATTGGCGTGTTTTATCCATCCAGAGGGCTAAAACAGGTGCAAAACCCGACCTCTATAACCGAGGAGTTAAGCGCATGGTGTCGATATTAGTACGCGGTGCTACAGGGCTTCGTATTGCATCATAGAGATTGGGGATACCAGGCATTGCACAACTGAGAACAGCCCTCAGGCTCCTGTGGATGCCTAATTGGTTAACGATACCCGCCTCAAGATCGTCGTCTACAACAAGAGGTGGGAACTCCGAACTCAGAAGTCCGAACATAGGAACTAAAGCGAAACAAGGCTTTCTTTTCGTTGGCAGTCGAGTGAAAAATTTCCTCACCTACAACGGTGCGTCCGCTTTGAAGCGCGCGCTTGGCTGTTGCGGGGGGGGGGGGACACTTCCCCGGGATTCGGAGGGCCACGCTTGCGTTTTTAGTGCACTAAACACCGATGGTAGGGCAACCCGGCTCGCGTGGAGCTTGTCCGGGTATGCGATGGGAATGGTGACGTGGAAAGACCGTGAGGGTGGCATCAATGTGTCAATTGGCAGAAGTACAGGACACCCACAGCCGGTGTGGAGTGCTAGGGACATGGATATGGCATTTTTGTTGCAATTAGGCGCTAGTTGTGCCACCAGCGAAATGGCTCTTTGTTCCCGTTCTTAGCCACAGTGCAAGCGATGAGCCGTTGTTCAGGGAATGGAGATTAGAACCACTACTCAGGGAATACAACTTTGTGTGGCACTACACGTGGAGCTCTTGAGGCCACGATGACGACGCCATGGCTTGTGGTTCTGCTTGTGGTTCTGCTTGTGAGGTCTATCATTCGCTGATTGACACCCGAATGTTGACTCTGAGCCATTAATAAGAGTACAGCTGTGGTGGCATCCTAGCTATCAACAGAAGCTTTGTATCTGGTGCTCCATATATTACCGCAGCAACTGCCCACATATTTGGAGTCAACTGAGCCTTACGTCTTATGGTATAACATGGAGTGGTTAAACGCAATGCGCAAGGGAAACTGCCCTCACCCGGCTACTATAGCAATTGCAATCCTTCTAGGGCAATTGCTTTTACCTTGCGGAGGTCACAGCCAGATTTGGATGTGAAGACAACTGTAAATGAACAAGGACTATGCATGAATAATTAGATCTGGCATGTATGATTGCGGTACACCAAAATCATGGATGTATATCAATTGTGATGAATTCGTCAGAAGCCGATTGCTAATTGAAGCTCAGACTGGTTCTTAGAGGTACTAGCGCTACCTGTGGAAGCAAGTCCCTATTCTATTAAAATTGATTCCTGGAACCAATCGCCCATGCCATTAAAACCTGACAATACAAATGGTTCAATGATAGAGTGCCGAGTGATGTGGTCTAGAAATGGTCCTTCCTATACGATCCCTGTTCGGCCACAAGGTTGTCGTTGTTTAAAAGGAGGATTAAGCAAAGGTGTCTTTGCAGGAGCTCTCATTGTGCTGAATCACTGCTAAGCCTGGCCAATGTTGAAAGCCATAGACCACTAGGGCTTTACTGATAAGGGAATCAATAGGCTAGTTGAATAACAATGTAAATTGCCACATATGAGCCGGGAACAATCTCATTCTTCAAAGATCTGTCAGCCTCCTTAGATATACATTGGCTAACAAACAGACTAAGACTCATGATGACATACATCGCTGGACACTCCATCTCTTAATCCATTTGACAACTCTACAGTCGCATACTACCCTTGGTCTCTGTAGTAACGGGCCAACCATGTGCCCACATTATACGCCAATTTGGATCTCAGCTAGGGAGGTCATTTAGGTACAAAGGGTTAATTTAAGTGTACATGTGATGTATGCCAAAACCCAGATTGCTATCCACACATAGGGTGTTCCGGGCCCTCTATGAAGAAAGCAAAGGAACCTTATCTCTACGTACTCATTTCACAATCTGCATACCTAACGTGGCCACAGTCAATTTGTTGATATGGTTTAAAGCCAATGTGTAGCTGTGTAAAACGTCATATGGAAGAGAAAATCGTGAAGAAGCCAAGATTGCAAATTCCAAAGTGTAAAGAGCGTGCGTATGATGGTTGCTAGTTTATCACTTAGCGGTGAATCGCTTAACGCGCATATGCCCAATCCTTCTCAGTTGGTCTTAGCTAATTTAGTTGACTTGTTGGGACGAAAGGGGTGTGGCATCATCGCCTTCAATAAGAATGGCACGTTCCTTCGCACTCATCGTGTGCCTGTGAGTCTGGGTTCGCTTCAAAAGAATATGAATCTCATGATGTTGATGAATGAAGGAATTCCATGTGCGCATGTTTCATTATTACCCAACGCTTAATCCCTTAATGAATTGCGTCTAATTGAGCTCATCACATTATACTACATATGGGTGTGTTCTCTGTCGAATGTATGAGGTTATCATGGTACAGGTGAAATTCGTTGAATTTGTCTTGGGATTTGCAACCCCCGTCCGCGGCGTCGCTTAAGTCATTTTAGAAGTCCATTGTGGATGCCATCGCTCAACAGATGTAAACAATATGAACGCTTACATCTCATCACTTGAATCAACAGCCTGAAGGTAAACAATTGAGGTAGCACTACTAGCGAGTGCTCAGCATCACCCCTGGCACATGGATCCGGTTCTTCCAAAGCGTATATGCAGTGCGCGCATGATTGTCATAGCAATAACGGGAAACAAGGAATTGTCATGGCGATCGAGAAAGAAAGTTCAAAAGTCAACAACAACAACAAACGTTTTATGGCTCATTCGAAGCAATCAAAGATAAAGACAAGGCATGTCCAGTTGTGCTCTCCCACAAATGGTCGCCTGGAACGATTTCAAATTCAACAGCTGCCCACCACTCATTTCCATGTTGTCCCCATTCGGAGGAACATGATGAAATTGAAGGGAGAATTTTCCGGCCGATCATGCTGCTTTTGCTGTTACTGTTGCTGTTTTGTTTGTTTTGTTCCTGCTACAACCGCATGTTTACGAATTTCGCCCTGTTATCGTATAGCAGAATACCGTCAGAAGGCGGTCTCTCAACAGTGGTTTTTCTATGCAAAACAGAGCGGAAAACATAGCAGACGAAGTTTAAAGTTTTCCCGAATTTGGATATAAACATTTCAATTCCAAAGTATAAAGAAACTCTAAAAACCCCCAGAGTTCCTCCTCTAATTTTAGCTGATCGACATTAGCAGGTGTTCTACCTATACATTAGGTA